GACACCTTTGTAATCGATGAAACACCGGAAGAGGAGCAGAAAGACGACGTGATCAAGGCAGCAAATCTGCTCGCAGGATCAGAAGAAGAGGTGCAGATGGAAGAGGACTAGAGTGAGGGACCAGGGGAGAGGGGACAAGAGTTGGAGCCAGCAGGCATGGACCTGGAACTGTTTGGGGATAAAGAGAAAGAGCCTCCTCTCCTGGGCCAGTAAAAAGAAAGAAAAAATGTAGTGGGAAGCCGAAGAAAAAGAGGCTGGAGGAGAGAGGGGGGAAGGACTATGAGACAGAAGAGGGGGTGATTGGAAAAGAGGGGGGAAGAGCTGGGACCTGCCTGTGGTAGACAAGATGCTGAGGAAGGTGGAAGGAGCTGGGTTCCTAAGCTTCACTGCAATCAAACACCTTGCAAGGGCCACGGAAATGCGAAAAGTGGCGGGGCAGACACCTCAGAGTTAAGTAGTGGGACAGACGAGACATGATGCAGGGTTCTCACTGGATAATAGCTGTAATGGCCTTGATCTTGGCATCAGTAAATGTGAGAAGTCTATATGGGAGGCAGAGATGGGAAATAATGCAGAGAACCTTACAAGCCCTAGACATGCAAGTGGTGGGCTTGCAGGAGTGTGGGATACCATGGGGGAAAACTTATAAATACTTGGAGAAGCCATGGAGGGTGAGACTGTCGTGGTGGAAGGGTTCTAATAAGAATAAAGCCGCGGGAGTGGGGATCCTGGGGAGGGAGGGAGGCTTGAAATTCAAAGACCTGCAGGTCTTAGAAGAGGGGAGAGTGCAGAGAGCAGTGGTGGAGGTTAAGGGAGTGGACATGACGCTATACAATGTATATGCACCAGCTGAGACAATGGAGAGGGTGCCCTTGTTTAAAAAAATGGGGGTGTGTGTAGGGGAAGGGCAGGGCTATGGATCGTGATGGGGGATTTTAACTGCATTTTTGAAGAGGGTGGATGGATTGGGATGGGGCGGGGAGTAGGGATGGATACCCGAGGGGGTGGATTAAGGACAAGGGTCTTCAGGATGTTTGGGAAGGGATGGGGGTGTTTACTAGGGTGGACCCAGGTGGGAGAGGGCAATCAAGGATTGACTTTGTGTTGATTTCGGAGGGTTCGGAGATCTGCAACAAGTGGCTGATTGATGTAAACTTGTCAGATCATTGTGTCTTGTGGGTGGAGGTGGGTGTTGGGGAGGGGCTTAAACAGGAGAAAGGGGCATGGAAATTGACTGTTTCCTTACTGGATGATGTCCAAGAATGCAATGTCTTTCAAAGGGCAGACCGCCAGTGGCAAACTTGGCAGCCATTTTTCCCAACATGGTGGGACTGGCAGGTGAAAATTAAGGGGTGCGTGCGGGAGTGGTTCAATCGAGTGGGGAGGAGGCAGGCACAAGGGAAAAAGTAGTAGTTAGTGCATTTGCAAGGGGAAGTTCAAGGACTGTGGGAAAAGTTGAAGAGGGGGAAGTGGTGAAGAGAGAATGGGAAAGGGCGAGAGAGGGGGTGAAAAACTGGTTCCAGAGCAGGATGAAAGAGCGGATGTTCCTGGCAAAGGCAGAGTTGGTGGACAAGAGGGAGGAATGGGGGAGTTATTTTGCCTTGTGAGTGAAAAGGAAGAAGTGGGTGAGGGGGGAGGTTTGCACAGCAGATGGAGGGAGGGTGGAGAATGCTGAAGGGGTTTTGCGGGAGGTGACCAAGTATTACAGGGACTTGTTTCGCAGGAAAGCAGTGGGGCGGGAACAGATGGAGG